GTGGCCTTGGTGGCTTATACCTGTAATCCCAGCACTTTGGGAGGCTGAAGTGGGAGGATTGCTTGAGCCTGGGAGTTTAAGACCAGCCTAGGTGACAGAGTGAGACTGTCTCTATTTAATAAAAAAGAAGAAAGAAAGATAGAAAGAAAGAAAGGAAAGAAAGAAGAAAGAAAGAGAAAGAAAGAAAAAGTAGAAAGAAAGAAGAAAGAAAGAAAGAAAGAAAGAAAAAGAAAGAAAGAAAGAAAGAAAGAAAGAAAGAAAGAAAGAAAGAAAGAAAGAAAGAAAGAAAGAAAGAAAGAAAATAATCTAGCCATACATGGTGGCACACGCCTGTGATCCCAGCTACCCAGGGGGCTGATGTGGGAGGATTTTTTAAGTCCTGGAGTTGGAGGCTGAAGTGAGCTGTGATCTTGCCACTGCACTTCAGCCTGGGTGACAGAATGAGACCTCATTTCAAAAAAATAAAAATAAAGATGAGTGTTTCTTTTACTCTCCCAAACCTTTGGGTCCATCCCCATTATTTGCCTCAAATTTTATTCTAATTTCATGTTCAATATATTTCAACCCATTTCCCCTGTAAAATATTACTTGTGACTGGATTTCCAAGCTTTAGGCCGAGGGTTTGGTTTCCACTAGATTTAGGATTTCGTATTAGGCAGAGTGAAATTGTAACAATCATCCTTTTTCTGGACTCTTGTGCTTCACATCACCAGAAACTTTTGTATTAGTTTACTATTTTGATTATTACAGGATGACTCTGATGTTGCTCGAATGTATTTAGTGAGTCTTTATTTCCTGTTTCTCTGCTTCTTTGCCTTTCACTATCTTTTTATCAAAGATTCTAAGGTTCTTTGTGTAATTGGCTGATACTTCCTGATTGCAAGATATCTCTGTGGGCTCTGAACATAGTTAAATGTATTTCTTTTCTTTTCTTTTCTTTTTTTTTTGAGACGGAGTTTCTCTCGTTACCCAGACTGGACTGCAATGGCACGATCTCGGCTCACCGCAACCTCCACCTTCTGGGTTGAAGGAATTCTCCTGTCTCAGCCTCCCAAGTAGCTGGGACTACAGGCGTGCACCACCATGCCCAGCTAATTTTTGTATTTTTAGTAGAGACGGGGTTTCGCCTCATTGACCAGGATGGTCTCGATCTCTTGACCTCGTGATCCACCCGCCTCGGCCTCCCAAAGTGCTGGGATTACAGGCGTGAGCCACCCCGCCTGGCCACTTAAATGCATTTCTAAACTTTTCATTTACCTTCGTCAGTATTAATGTAGGGCTTCTGAAAGAATGGCAAAGTTAAAGAAATTATTTTCTTGCCTTAGACTGAAGATTTATTTCCATATTCCTGGCCTGTAAGTGGGGACGTGAGGAAGAACATGTTTAAGATGCAATGCTTATTGTAACTCTTTAAAGGGGCTCTGGTAGCATTTGGCACATAAGAAGTGACTCATGCAGTATCTTTGAAAAGGAGTGATTGCTTTTTCTTAAGTCTTCATTTTAATATGTTCCAAATGTTAAACATATTGCAAATGTTACTTCACAAATAAGAGAATATATATCCAGAGGAGGACATGGAGGCACACAGAGGCAACCAGATCGAGGAATGAAATACTAGATTTCCAGACTGGGCCTGGTGGCTCACCGCTGCAATCCCAGCATTTTGGGAGGCTGAGGTCGGCAGACTGCCTGAGCTCAGGAGTTCTCGACCAGCCTGGCCAACACGGGGAAACCTCATCTCTGCTAAAATACAAAAAAAAAAATTAGCCTGGCGTAGCAGTGTGTGCCTGTAATCCCAGCTACTCGGGAGGCTGAGGCAGGAGAATTGCTTGAACCCAGGAGGTGGAGGTTGCAGTGAGCCAAGTTCATGCCACTGCACTCCAGCCTGGGTGACAGAGCAAGATTCTGCCTCAAAAAAAAAAAAAAAAAGTACTAGATTTCGATTTCTAAACCTTGCTTCTCTTCACTGAAGTTTGACTCTCTAAATGTGTTTATCATGAGTAAAATGTTTTCATGGCACTTATGATGATAGTATTTCCGGAGTGGATAACACTATAGGATAACCTGTTAAATCAAGGTGGTGTTCAGACTCATTTTCTATTACCCCAGAAACTTTATTTTAAATACATTAAATAATCGTTCAAGGAAATACTCTGCACAATCTCACGTGTCTGCCTTTCCCTTCCACCTGGAATAAGGTCCCATAACTGTCCGTCACAGCCCTACCTGTTCTTCAAGCCCTACTTTCTCTGAGTCTCTTTAGGCCTCTGCATATTTTTACAGTTGCTCATTACACCTTTTCCATAGCTCATTCTGAAGAGAAACATGTATGTATGTCAGTTTCTCTTTCTTGGAGAGCTGGGACCAAATCCTGAGCTGTTTTTATTTTTATTATTGTTTTATTTGAAACTTCCGATCCATACTTCCTCCCAGCACCTAGCACATCATTCCGGGATGCCAGAGACTTGGTTTCATTCATCTGTGAACAACCTGGAGAAATGAATCACACCTGTTACAGAGGGCTGTCACTTATGCTTATTCTATGAATGGTAGACACCTAACAACACTCACCAGAAACAGAGCAGCTCTAGGTTGTGTTGGCAAATGAAGTCCCATAACTACAAATGTGTTTGGCAGCACTTGGGTGTGCTGTAGTCACAGTATCAAAGGACAGAGAAAATCTGGTATAATAAAAACCAATACCCATGTAGTTGACCACATTTTTACTATGTATTGTGATTTCTTTTTCTTCCTTCCCTTTCTTCCTCCCTCCCTCTTTTCCCTTTCCCTCTTTCCTTCCTTCCTCCCTCCCTCCCTTTTCTTTTCCTTCCTTCCTTCTTTCCCTCTTTCCTCCCTCCCTCCCTTTTCTTTTCCTTCCTTCCTTCTTTCCCTTCCCTCTTTCCTTCCTCCCTCCCTTTTCTTTCCCTCCCTCCCTCCCTCCTTCCTTCCTTTCTTTCTCCTTCCTTCCTTCCTTCCTTCCTTTTTTTCTTCCTTTGTTTTGGAAGGAGTTTCGCTCTTGTTCCCCGGGCTGGAGTGCAATGATGCAATACTGGGTCACTGCAACCTTTGCCTCCCACGTTCAAGCAATTCTCCTGCCTCAGCCTCTCAAGTAGCTGGGATTACAAGAATGCACTGCCATGCCCTGCTAATTTTGTATTTTTAGTAGAGACAGAATTTCCCCATGTTGGTCAGGCTAGTCCTGAACTCCCAACCTCAGGTGATCTGCCCTCCTCGACCTCCCAAAGTTCTAGGATTACAGGCGTGAGCCACCACGCCCGGGCCTGCATTGTGATTTTCTTTTTCTTTCTTTCTTTTTTTTTTTTTTAATTTTGAGACGGAGTTTCGCTCTTGTTACCCAGGCTGGAGTGCAATGGCGTGATCTCGGCTCACCGCAACCTCCCCCTCCTGGGTTCAGGCAATTCTCCTGCCTCAACCTCCTGAGTAGCTGGGATTACAGGCACGCGCCACCATGCCCAGCTAATTTTTGTATTTTTAGTAGAGACGGGGTTTCACCATGTTGACCAGGATGGTCTCGATCTCTTGACCTCGTGATCCACCCACCTCGGCCTCCCAAAGTGCTGGGATTACAGGCCTGCGCCACCGCGCCCGGCTGCACTGTGATTTTCTAAATAAACATGGATATCTGCTTCTGCTTTTAGAAGAATACAGAACATTTTACACTTTATTGACTTGCTGAAAAACTTCATTAGGAAGAATTCTTATCATTTTAAATCAACCTTATTTTGTCAAAATTTATTCATCTATCTAGATGATTGATAACAGTCTTGTAGGAATTGAGGAGAGAGAGAGAATTAACATAAATACTTAATACCACAGTATATTGGACAGGGGAGGAAAAAGTGAGGAATCTCTGATCTTTATTCAGATTTTTTTTTTTTTTTTTTTTTTTGAGACGGAGTTTTTGCTGTTGTTATCCAGACTGGCTCACTGCAACCTCCGCCTCCTGGGTTCAGGCAATTCTCCTGCCTCAGCCTCCTGAGTAGCTGGGATTACAGGCGCGCACCACCATGCCCAGCTAATTTTTGTGTTTTTAGCAGAGACGGGGTTTCACCATGTTGACCAGGATGGTCTCGATCTCTTGACCTCGTGATCCACCCGCCTCGGCCTCCCAAAGTGCTGGGATTACAGGCGTGAGCCACCGCGCCCAGCCTATTCAGATTTTTCAATGCTAGCTAGTATGGTGCTTTTATGTTCTTATATACAAATTATGTGTAGCAAGTTGACAACATTTCTTGTCAGATTTCTAAAAATGCTCTTTTTCTTTGCAACAGAAGATGCTAACATAATAACTAACCAATAGTTTAGCTGACTTAGAAAGACTGCAAGGATAGCAAGAGGGAAATCGCCAGAATCAGTAACATTTTAAAAGTTTATCACTCGTGGAATTTCGTTGTCAGGAAGGTCTTGACCCTATACTTGAGGAATTTCTGACTTGATGCAGGTTCAAACCGAAGCGAGCGTTTCATTGTTCAGCACATGGATTTGGCAAAATGTATTGCATTAGACAACCCCTTAGCCTAAGCTGCCCTACATTTTAAAACAAAAACACCTGAAAACTGATGAGTAACACAAGAAAGAAGAAGGGAAGAAAAAAGAGGGGAAAGAAAAAAGGGAAGGAGAAGGAAGAGGGCGAGGGGAAAAGAGAAGAGAAAAAGGAAGAAGGGGAAGAGGGAGAATGAAGGGAAGGGAGGAAGAAGGGAACCTGTTTTGAATAACTGCTAAAGACACATGTGAACAGAATGAGTGAGATTGGTAATATAAGACATTTTAAAATTTCGAAGAATATCCAAACAAACACAGCTATCAATCTGTGAGACCTTATTTGTGCATTTCCTAATTTGCATATCAGTGGAGGAAACACTGGAAGTTAGGATTTGCACATAAAAATCCACAATCCTCAGTGTAATGTCATGTTTCTGTAGAAAAACTTTGGTTAACTAGATTTTTCTGGCTGCCAGCATAATTTGAGGACAAAAGTATTAAATATATATAAAATGACTAATTTAATTTTACATAATTTAAGAAATAAAAAATAAGAATTTCCAGATTAACAACCACACTGCCTGAATTACATGTTTAAAGCAATATAATTAAAAACCTAAGAAGAATAAAATAATGTCATCTATTTGTATTTCTTGATTTCTGCAATGTTTAGATAGGTTACATTAATGTCAAGTTAACTAATCCTTTTATTATTTTTTCTATTTTGCAAACCTCTTTTTTTTTAAACACAAAAAGTAAAAGCCCAAGGGAACAAGAGTAGTTCTATATGACTTTATCAAAACTTGCCAAGATGTTACAAGATTTTAAAAGTTTTTTTTAAATTGGCGGGAAAACTCACCTCTAACACTGAAGAGCTTTATCAATGGTATATTCTCAAATAATCACTCAACATGCAGAACCTGCTTCTAAAGCCTTATGTTATATTTTATTTTGAAATACAGAATCTATGGTTTTCATATACATGGTTTAAATTCCAGGTGGTTATTTAATTTACATAGAGCTTTCCATATTTAACTTTTGGAAATTAAAACCTTCAGTTCTCAAAGACTATTGAAGCATATATATAGAAAGGAGAAAAACACCTGGTAAAATTCACTTTTAAGTAAATAGAATTCTTTTCAGTCATGTCTTCAAAATTTTTTAATTTGTGAGATATAAAATATTTGCTCTATAATTCAAAATCTTGATCTTCAGGGATACAGAACACAAAAATAACCCAAAAGCTGTTGCTACAGGTTAATCACTTGAAACAGAAGCTAAAATCTGAGTTGGTATCTCTGTTCTTCCCTCTATTAGCTCAATCACAGTGTGCAATCACAGGTAAAATGGGATTGATGAGTTTTGTTTATCTTATAATATTCTAAGGATTAAACAAAATTATGAATTCAAAAGTGCTTTGTAAGCTATAGGGCATTAAGCAAATTAAAAAGTTTAAATAAGAATTCTATCAAAGTGAACTATGATTTCTGCAAGACATTTTTATCTTTGACTTTTGTATCTAAGCCTAGTACCACTTTGGAATCACTGATTTAACCAATAGGAAGTAGAGCATCTTTCTGGTCACCTCTCTGACAGATTAACAACCTGGAAAAAAATGATCTACAGTTCGAGCTATATTAGGGGGACAGTGGAATCACTAGGATAATTCTGAACACAAACAGAGTGGAGACGTGAGTCTGAAGAGGGGAAATATCAAAGGTACGCTTTAACAAGGGTGAAACTTTGAAATCCAGCTGTTTAAGATTAATCACCATTCTTTCAGTTAAGCTGTTGTCATCTCTAACTTCCCCTGAGTAGAAAATAATCTACACTTCCAACTAAGTTATTCATGGTCCAATTTGTTCTCAGAATACTATAATAGGCTTTGTGAAGATAAGTTTTATAATAGGGATTTAACGTAGTGAGAAGCCAAGACACAGAGGCCTTCAAACACAGAATATATATATATATATAAAATACATATATACTAACTGCTCCATCCTTCCCCTCTTCTTCTTCCCGCTCCGTTCCCTCTCCCAAAAGGACATTCACCCCTACTTAAAAATTTAATTTTTACAAAGCATTCAGATGAAATGGCATCTCAACAACTTCATAGCACAATTAGTTCAGCCACTGCAGCATTGTTTTTGAAGCCATTTTCAACAGAGCTGAGACAAGGGGAGAACTCTGAGTAAAGCACTGGAAGAAGAAATGCGGTGAATGTTTTTAAGAAAGAGAAACATAATCTTTCCTCTTGACACTTCTGTCTCTCTGACGGCCACATTTACATCCCGAGCTCACAGGCTAGAACTCTCAAAGAGAACTCTAGTTTCCTAGAGAAAATAAGACAGTCTGGGTGGCATCTTTGGGGGAGGGGGGTGTAGGAAGGAAAAGGAAATAATCACTGATGATGTATATATGTCATGTTTATTTTCTAGGTTTCTGATATCTTAAGCTGTTGAAAATACATGAAGTTATTCAGAGACTTTTTTTTGTTTGTTTGATTCCTCTTTAGCTCTATAAGATGTAACTCTCTATGCTTTTCTCTCATTTTTATTCAATTGAGTGTATTGGCCTCTTGTTTTACAAAGTAGAAACCTTGAGTGCAACAAGTTTATCTTTATTCCAGACTGTAGGTTGTTGCTTTTTTTTAAGGTTCTTTATTCTTCCATTTTAAACATTTCAAAACATACATGCAAAATTTTAGTATTTAAAATATTAGGAACTCTTCACCTGTTAATGTGTTTTAATAACTAGCTTGCCTCTTCTGAGCATATTACATTCCTGCTATACCTCTTTTGTAGCAAGCGTGCCTATCTTATTTAAATATTTCTAATAAAGTATGCAAAAAGATAAACATATGTGACCTACTTCTATTCAAAACTGGCTGGAAAACTACAGATCACAGGAATTCTGTACCAGACATACATTTTAAACTTCTTTTGATAAATACTTTTTAAAATTGTTTTTTAATGTGCTCTTAATGACTTCTAGCACTCACACCTTCTTACGTGCTTTCCAAACTGTTTATACTGTCCCCAATAACACTCAGTGGAAAGCTGTCACTCCTGGCTAAATCCTTACTTAGGGTGGATGCTATGCCTCCGTGAGACAGGGTCAGGGGGTCAAAATCGATTTTGGAGGCCACCTGGAGAGTCCAGGCCATGAACTGACTCGAAAAATTTATATCAGAGCCAGAATGGTCCACCTCCCAGGGTCAGATCTGGCCTGACACCCCAACCGCAGGCTGGGGCATGCTAGACGGCGCTCACAGAGGCCAGGGTTGCTGGCCCTGCTAGCTGACCTCTTCAAACTTCAGGAGAATTTTTTTGGCAGTTACCACGGTGACTGGGTACTCTAAAAGCTTATCCTTCTTACTGAATGGAGGGAAAAAAATTAGGAAAAAAATATGTTAAAACCTACCTTGCAGAGATGCCTATCATGGTTAAAGTAAAAAAAAAGAAAAAAAAAGGTTGGGGGCGGTGGGAAGGGAGGTCCCAAATTGTCTATGCCTTTGGTATTAATTACTACTGCTTTCCAAAAAAGAAAAAGAAAAACAATTAGAATTTACAAGTCTTTCAAACTGCAAAATTTGACATTTGGAGCAGATACTACTTTTTTGCTTCTTTTTCTTCATCTCTTTCTTGGTCAATAGCTGGCAACAATATGAACAACGCATTCAAGTATTTTTTAAAACAATGCGATTTACTTGGAAATTCTAATATCTCCCCTTTTCTTTGAGAATAATCAACTTAGAAATAAGAACCATCATAAATGCTAGTCTGTCAGAGTTAAAAGATGCTGTAAGTAATCATTTTTGCCTCAAAATCATGTTCAAGACTTTTTTTTTCTTTTCCCTGAAAGAAAAGTGTCCAATTTTGCTTGATTTGAAATAATTAAATTAGGAGAAAAGCAAGGGGCCATTATTATATATTTGATCTTTTACCAAATGACTTAATAAAAATAATGTAAACGTTAAAAACAACTGAAAATACTCTACATATGACAAGAGACCACCAGGAAGAAAACAAATACCATGTATACTTCATTTTAGAGCAAAGAGCATTAAAGCTAAAGAAAAGCCATGGAATATTCTTCTGTGTTAATACCAAATGTTGTCTTGTCCTAAAGTCTCACAGCAATAGAAATACTTGCAGATAAAAATTTAAATTCCCCATGGGGTAAACCTATGCACATTATAAAACTCTATTAGTTGATTTTTGCTGATAGATTGTAATACAAAATGCTTTAAAATGGCTCCCATGTGTGACTTGAAATTAGATGAGAATTATAATAATTTAGAAGTGTAATATACTTTAATCATAATAATACTTGCCTTTAAAAATATCTGAGTACTACACAATGACTTTTTATAAACTGCAATCATTGAGTTTTATTGTTATTGCTCTATATCTCTTATTTCATTTTCTCATCTGCTACGTACATAATCCAGGTCCTAGACGTCTTGGAAGGACCTCCTCTGCCATTTGGGTGCTGGCTGTGTGTGTGTGTGTGTGTGTGTGTGTGTGTGGTGTGTATGTGTGCACAAATAATGAAGCACTGGTGGATGTGCATTTTAGAAAGCAGTGGCTATATAACAAACAATGTCTTTGATTCAAATACCATTTTTCATCTTGACTCTGAGCCAAGAAAAAAATGAGCAATTACAGAAATATAGTAATTGACACTTCAAAAGTGAATACTAAAATTTCAGAGGAATGTTTTAACCTCATCTTAAATGTTCATTTTACTATGACCTATGTTGACTGTTTTGTAATAATCATTAAGTTCCTACAGTGGAATGAACATGAAACCAAGTATTTATTAATTAATCTTAATTTTTTTTTTTTGAGACAGAGTTTCGCTCTTGTTACCCAGGCTGGAGTGCAATGGTGCGATCTCAGCTCACTGCAACCTCCGCCTCCTGGGTTCAGGCAATTCTCCTGCCTCAGCCTCCTGAGTAGCTGGGATTACAGGCACGCACCACCATGCCCAGCTAATTTTTTTTTTGTATTTTTAGTAGAGACAGGGTTTCACCATGTTGACCAGGAGGGTCTCGATCTCTTGACCTCGTGATCCACCCACCTTGGCCTCCCAAAGTGCTAGGATTACAGGTGTGAGCCACCGTGCCCGGCCCAATTAATCTTAATTTTTAAAAACCAAATGTAATTCGGAACCATTTCCTTTCTCCTCTTGTGCTCAAAACAGCCGCTGAAAGGCCAGGTCAGAGGCACAGTTTGAGCTGATCTTGCCGGGCAATCCAGTTACACTTTGCTGAAACACAGTTCTTTCAATTATGTAGTGTGGTTCTTAATATGTTGAAGTGGGCAACCAGGTTGGTGAGTCACTTAAACTGTGGTGCCAGCTCACTGTCCGTGATGAATTCGAACTGTCCTCAGCTGGGAACTCTTGGCAAGCTTCCTAAAAGACCCAGTGGCTGGCAAAGCATGAGAAGCTATCACACAGAAAACGAGGTCCTCCTTGGGTTTGGAAAACAGATGATAGAAGTCTTGGAATGATGCAAGCCAGGTCACAATCTCCTAAACCACGAGCCTTATCTTGAATGAAACATGAGTTCTAAGTTGGATCTGAAAAGGAAAACAAGTTATAGTATAAGGCAATGGTTCATTTCTACAAAAGAAGACAATGCCAAGTCTCTTAGTGTGGTTTCCTCTAGTCCAATTCAGAATCTCTCCCACAGAAAACCAAAAATCATTTTTCAGTCCTTTGCATAAACTTTTACTGAAAGGACTATGAAATAAATAGGTGTTTTGTTCAGAAACGCATAGATCTGGATCTTGCTTAGATTGAAAATTTGCAGATACGTTACAAAAGTCCAGAATGTGGGGATTGAGGAACCTAAGCAATTATCTAGTCTTGTGTTTTTACTTTACATATGCAAAATCTGAAGCCCAGAAGCATGAACTGCTTTACGTACAAAATATTCATGAGATGCCTAAACTAGAACCTAGGTACTGGCTGGCATTCTTTCTTTCTTCTTCCTTTTTTTTTTTTTTTTTTTTTGAGACAAAGTTACCCTCTTGTTGCCCAGGCTGGAGTGCAATGGTGTAATCTCTTCTCACTGCAATCTCCACCTCCTGGGTTCAAGCGATTCTCCAGCCTCAGCCTCCCGAGTAGCTGGGACTACAGGCGCTCACCACCATGCCCAGCTAATTTTTGTATTTTAGTAGAGACGGGGTTTCCCCTTGTTGACCACAATGGTATCGATCTCTTGACCTCGCTATCCACCTGCCTCGGCCTCCCAAAGTGCTGGGATTACAGGCTTGAGCCACCGTGCCCGGCCGAGGATCTTATATCTTATGGTAACAAGGGCGTGTTGTGAATACTATTTCTCCAGCGAATTGTTTTGATCGGTTTGTTGTGGTTATTAAGCAGCACTGACTTCTTTCTGTAGGTATGGAGTTGCGTCATTCTGCCAGGTTTGTAACTAAGTAACGGGAAGTGGGGCTTTGGTGTAGGTCTGCCTCTGCTACCAAATAATCATGAGCTGTGTAAGGGAGCAGGGCTGCCAGTCCAGGGAGGGCTTCATCTGCGTTTTCTTTAACATTGTTCTAATTTACTTCGGGTCTAACTTGTATCTGTTAGGATCGACAGAACCTAAAAACGAAGTAAAACAACAACAAACAAAAAGACTGTATAAAAATGTGCAATTAATTGCTGATACCCCAAACTGCCACTTATCTACTGCATTCAGCTGTAACAGTACTTTTTTTTTTCTGAGTAAGATTCTCACTCTGTTGCCCAGGCTGGAGCACAGTGGCGTGATCTTGGCTCACTGCAGCCTCTGCCTCTTAGATTCAAGCGATTCTTCTGCCCCAGCCTCCCAAGTAGCTAGGATTATAAGTGTATGCCACCATGCCCAGCTTATTGTTGTATCTGTAGTAGAGACAGGGCTTCTCCATGTTGGCCAGGCTGGTCTCGAACTCTTGTCCTCAAGTGATCCACCCGCCTCAGTCTCCCAAAGTGCTGGGATTCCACGCCTGAGCCACTGAACCCTGCCTTGTAATAGTACTCTCTTATTAGCGCATTTCTAGTGCTGTCTATGCTGTCTCGAAGTTCCCTTTCTAACTTGGCATGGCATTTGGAGAAAGATCATGATTTAATCTAAAAATTTGCTGGGGGGCCCCAAGGGAGAGAAGGGTAAGGGATGAGAATCTGAGAAGAGAAGGAAAAGTATTAGGTATGCCATGGGCCAATCAGTGACTCTCTAGGGGAGGGGGTGGGTGCTTAGAAAGATAGCTACATGTGATTAGCAGGTGAAAGCAGGGTAGTCCGGTAGTCCTCAACTCCCACTTGGAATTTCAAAGAAATGCCGTTTCCATAGGTTCAAGAGGGTGTTAGTTAAGGGAGACATATTTTGGTACTAATCACACGTTAAATTTTGGGAGCAGGGAATGAGGAACTCCTCTGAGGGTGGGTCTGAAGAGCATTTGCTTGGCAACCTTCAGTCAAAATGTGCGGATGAGGTTCAGCTACCTAGGCTGTATGTTTACGTATACTTTTCCATTTCTCAAAACATTTTCGTTGTCTTGCCTTGGATCTGTAGAAGAGTTCTCCAACCAAAGGAAAAAGAGTTGTTAAGGGAAGCTTCTTGGTAGAAGGGAACTTTCAGATATACAAATGTTTCCCTTTTTATTTAGAGAGTCTCACTCTGTCACCCAGGCTGGAGTGCAGTGACACGATCTTGGCTCACTGTAACCTCCATCTCCTGGGTTCAAGCGATTCTCTTGCTTTGGCCTCCTGAGTAGCTGGGATTACAGGCACATATCACCACACCCGGCTAATTTTTGTATTTTTAGTAGAGATGGGGTTTTACCATGTTGGTCAGGCTGGTCTCGAACTCCCGACCTCAAGTGATCCACCCACCTCTGCCTCCCAAATTCATGTCATTACAGGCATGAGCCACTACACTGAATCTATTTTTCTTTTTAGAATCAAGGTTGATAAGTTGGAAGCTTAGCAGAAAAAAGAAAGTGAGGAATTGCTTGGCAGTGTGGTGGATAATGCTTGTAATCCCAACATTTTGAGAAGCTGAGGTGGGCAGATCACGAGGTCAGGAGATCAAGACCATCCTGGCCAACATGGTGAAACCCCATCTCTACTAAAAATATAAAAATTAGGTGAGTGTGGTAGCCAATGCCTGGAGTCCCAGCTACTCAGGAGGCTGAGGCAGGAGAATCGCTTGAACCCAGGAAGCAGAGGCTGCAGTGAGCCAAGATCATGCCACTGCATTTCCAGCCTGGGCAACAGAGCGATATTCCATCTCAAAAAAAAAAAAAGCAAGTGGGGAATTATGGGATTAAAGTATGAGAACTTTCCCCTTGGGCTCCACCCAGAACTAGAAAGGCTGTGCGTCAGGAGCCATGCTGATTCAGAGCTGCTGGCCCTGTCCACTTCTTGGCCCACCTTAAAGCTTTTCCAGAGCTGTTCCTGCAGTGTCCATCCTAGACCCTCCCCACAGGACTACTGTGAGAAGGGCACAGTCTGGGGCAACCTGACCAGGGCCTACTCACTGCCAAACCGCTGCCACTGGAAAGGAGGACCACCCTTTTGGTATCCTTCATAGGCCCGTAGAAAACTGCCAAAGACAGAATCTTTGAAACTGAATTTCAATGATTGTCAGAAGATAAGAGTGAGGTATAGCAGCTGCTCTAAAGCACCCGCCCCAGCTGCCCTATCCAAGGGACAGGCCTGCTTTTTGACCACCATCTTCCCACACCCATAATGAGAGGAAGGGAAGAGGAGAGACAGAAAGGAGAAAGGGGAGGGACAAAAAGGAAAAGGTTTCACCTTGGAGGACGCTGATTCAGGACCCACATCTGCAAACAGAAAACTAAAAGCGGGCTGGGAGCAGTGGCTTACGCCTATAATCCCAGCACTTTGGATCATGAGGTCAGGAGTTCAAGATCAGCCTGGCCAAGAAGGTGAAACCCCGTCTCTACTAAAAAAATGTAAAAATTGGTGGGGGGTTGGTGGCACACACCTGTAATCCCAGCTACTCGGGAGGCTGAGGTAGAGAATTGCTTGAACCTGGGAGGCGGAGGTTGCAGTGAGCTGAGATCGCGGCCCTGCACTCCAGCCTGGGCGACAGAGCGAGACTGTCTCAAAACAAAACAAGCAAAAAAACAAAAACCTAAAAGCAAACAAAACAAAACAGAAAACTTACAACTTCAGAGTCTCAGTTCCAGGTTGCCCAGGCCTAAGACATTCACATTTGTGAAGGATGAGGGGTGGCTGGGCAGAATGTGGAGGCCCACGCATAGTCACTCACTGGGGAAAGTGAAGCCACAGTCCAGACAAGGCCTGTGAAGGGCCCCAGGGAGAACCGGAGAGTCTGTAGAAGGAACCAGTTTCTCTTCTGGATCCAAATGGCCCGTGCTTTGGGGTGACTGCAGTCAGATGAATGATCCGTTTCCTTCTGTCTGCCTGGTTGTGTCTAAATGAAAATCAGGCCACAGATAATGCTCTCCCATCCTCAGTTTTCGAATCCCAAAACTCAAGTGCCTGAGAGTGAAACTTCACCAAAAAATGATTGCCAGCAACAAATTCAGTCAGGCTGACAAATTGTCGATAATCGCCCCTTCAACACGCTGGATGACTTCTGGGCAATAAATAAGCAGATGCAAGAAGAGCTGCTGGCTGGGTGGGCGAGGTGCAGACCAGAGCCACACTGCAGTCTTCCCGCTGTGGCCCCCACAAGGGAGCGCATTCAGTGCGGGGACGGCGGGTGCCCGCTTGCCCTTCTTCCTGTCACTCACACACACTGCACAGAGGAGCTTCTCTCTCTCCTCTCCTCCAGTTAACCCTTCTGAGTGTGTGTGGCTGTGGTCTCACGCACCCTTGATTTACAGTCACATTACCCAGGTTTGCTTTGGATTGAAATCCTGGGCCCCTGGAACGTATTGGACACCTAGTTACTTCCGTATACCTGTATATATTCTGTGACGGATGAATTGACACTCAATATAAAACTAGTATTTTTACCTGTGAATGCATTTGAAAAATGCAGGCACGTTACATCATTTAAGACCTTAAGACACATCTGAAGGAGATCTCTCAAGGTGTTTGCAGGTTAGCGCTCCTGCTATCACCCACCTCTGCTGGCCCTCAGCACACGCAGTCACAAGAGTGTTCTTGGATTCGTCTGTCCTGTGTTAGACTCACTCCGTGCTTTAAATTTAGGAGCAATTTTAAACACATACATGGATTTAAATATGCATTTATTATATAAGATATGATTTCTTGCATAGTTTACAAATCCAGTTACCCAATCATAAGGCTTCAAATTAAATTGTTAGTCGAAGCCCTCCTAGGAGTTTGATTTAGCTACAGAAGTTTGGGCTCAAGATTTAATTTACTCTTCTACTTTCTCTAACATGAATTTTGATTTCTGCATTGAAATACAACACAGCACTTGAATTAAGTGTCTCCTTGTTAAACTGGAGGCTTTTCTAATTTCTCTGAACTCTATAAATGAACTGCATTGTCACATAATCGATAGGAAAATCTCAGCTGTCACAGATCTTAAGCAACCCTTTGCCACAGAAATAACACGATCTGGCATTTC